TATGGAGGGTGAAGAGAAGAAGACGAGGAGGAGAAGAAGAAGAAGAGGAAGAAGAAGAATCCCTCGTCTCTCTCTCTCTCTCAGATCTGTCTCTCTCTCTCAGATCTGTCTCTCTCTCTCTCTCTCCAGAAGTAGGATGAGAGGCGGTGGATATGGAGGGTGGAGAGAAGAAGACGAGGAGGAGAAGAAGAAGAAGAGGAAGAAGAAGAATCCCTCGTCTCTCTCTCTCTCTCTCTCTTCTCTCTCTCTCTCTCTCTCTCTCTCTCTCTCTCTCTCTCTCTCTCTCTCTCTCTCTCTCTCTCTCCAGAAGTAGGATGAGAGGTGGTGGATATGGAGGGTGGAGAGAAGAAGACGAGGAGGAGAAGAAGAAGAAGAGGAAGAAGAAAAATCCCTCGTCTCTCTCTCTCTCTCTCTCAGATGTCACAAGATACTGAGCAGCTAAAGATGATGTCTTGAGCTGATGCAGGTCACCGGGTGAAGTCCGGCCATAGGTTGGTAGCAGTCCCAGGCAATGGCGACCAGTTGAGTATTCCAATGCTGCGCTGTTACTTAGCACCTCGATCTCCCCGTAGTCTACCTCCTAACTCACTAGCGCATGATCTCAAATGTTCTCAAATGTTCTGAATGATCTGTACAATTTGATATGGGATGCGGGGCCTGGTTCCCAGCACGTGCTGCTCCCCACGAATAGACTGGAGCATTTGTTTGAAAAAAAAAAAAAAAAAAAAAAAAGACTGTCCTAGAGCTTCTCCTCTACACGCTGCTCTCCAGGACAGTCTTTTTTTTTCAAACAAATGCTCCAGTCTATTTGTGACTAAAAAAATGCTCCAGTCTATTTGTGACTAAACATATTTGCCAAAATGTGTCCACAACACTGCTCCCAAAACTGTGACTAAAAAAAAAAAAAAAAAAAAAAAAGAACTGTGACTGGGCCCAGCTATATACCGCGGGGGCAACTCAAAGTGCTTTCAGCCTGTGGCCAGGGCCATCAGATCCATCGTATTGGAGGCAGGCGGAAATCCGGGTCCTGGGTGCTGGCCCAGGAAACGGCTTGCCTGGGTCCCTACACTCCCTACCAGCCATCCAGGTCCCCCCTGCTGATGCAGCAGGGATGCAACCGTGCTCGTTTTTCCAGGTCCCCCCTGCTGGCCCCTTTTTTCCATGTCGCCGTGCTCGTTCAAATAGCCCAGGCTGGACTGAACCTGGAAGAACCGCATGTAGACAAACAAGGTACCCTGCATCGTAAGATAATGAAACTTTTTCAGACAATAAAATAAATACTCTCAGAGAACCGCATGTAGACAAACAAGCTACCTGGTACCTGACAAACCTATGCCAAGGTCCACAAAGGCCACCCGCGGTTTCGGGATCCCGTAGACATATATATCTTTGATGCCCCTTGGCTATTAGCTACTGCTTGTATTCCTTCAGTCATTTTCATTTCGGTTGAATCCTTGGACCTTCTTTCTAAACATTGTTGCTTTTTTATTCGGTGTCCGAGCATGCATGCCGCACGTGTGGTCCTCGATCAACCTCATTCTCCCATCTTCCCACAATGCTAAACCGCTCTTGAACCTTCCTTCCTCTTGTGTTCACACCACTCACCACCAAACTTGGATGATGATCAGAACTAGGGACGTCTTGCGTCGTAACTGTTATTTAAACTTATTTTCCTTTCTACGGAAATGGTGACAACATCACTGGCTACGGCTTGGGCTTGGATTGATGATCATAAAAATGTGTGTGAAATTGTGAATCAATATGAAATTATGAATCGCTACTGCTGAACCATGCTGTCATATAACTGTTGTGTTTGTTATATGTTGCTTTGTGCAGAAATAATGACGCACAGGACATTAAGGAGTCAACGCAAAGTAAATTACTATTATGTCATCTTGCTTCGGACAGTTGGAAGCGAATTGGAGACTGGTGGAGCGTAAGATGAGCCAGGTATCGTTTGTGAAGGCGAGGGGCGGTCGATGGCCAAGCTCATTAGCGTGATAGACTTGCTGAGGGGGTTGTGATGTGGAAAGGGGGACATCTTTTGGATGGGAAGCCCTCTCGGCATGTTACGTATTGTAACGGAGGAGAACATCAAAGCGGGAACATATCGGAATTTTGAACAGAGATGTGGTGGTGAAGTGGGCGAAAGGCCCCCGGCATAAGTAGTTTTTACACGCTTACCAGGGCATTTTATGTTATCAGGCCTGTCCATTATACTCAACCGTGCCATACAACGAACTCTCTCAATCATGCACTCATTACTACCGGTGTCCTGAACTCCTCTTCTTCTTTCTTCTTTCTTCTTCTTCTTCTTCTTCTTCTTCTTCTTCGTCGTCGTCGTCGTCTTCGTCTTCGTCTTCGTCTTCGTCTTCTTCTCTTCGTCGTCTCCTCCTTCTTATCTTATTTTACTGCTCCTTCCTCTTCTTCTTTGCCACGTCCTCCTTCTTCTTCTTTGCCACGTCCTCAACTCTTCTTCCTCTTGTTGCTCATGTCGCTGTGCATCAGAGCGTTATCAGAGAACACAAAGTGTTGATCTCTTGCTTACGTGGTAGCATTTCAACTTCACGGTCATCAACGAATGACGCACCCCTTCTTGTGGACCTGTCCAACCAGCCGGGCAACAACAGTTGAGCGAGGCAGCGTGGATATGTCAAGGCTTGAACAAGAGCACGGGAGCATGATGCTGCTTGACTTCCGCAACGCATTCCGAGGAAGTATCCTCGAGAAGTACCATGTGGTCCCTTTGCAACTGGCTTCTTTGGACACTACAACTCAACGAATCGATCTCCATCGGTTCGTTACGTTCTTGCTGTGGCCAGGAAATGCCAGCCTCCTGAAGAGCGATCAAGATGCTTTCATCCACCGATTTGTTTCCGCCTTTCCTGGCCTGGGAGACGTTTCATGTTATTGCGCCGCAGCAGAGATGGCGAGGGAATTGCAGGTTGGCGTGGACGAGTCGGTGGAGGGAATTGCTTCAATGCGAGAGGACGCCACTGGGCAGAGAGATCGGTTGCCTGCCTTGGCTGTACAGATGATACAGTTGGCGCTCTCTCGTCCGGAAAATGCAATGTCGGCAAGAATGTTTCAGCGATCAGGCAGGGATGTCACGCACGAGACCGATGCCAATCTTGTGCAGAAAATGTGCGATTTTTGCAAATTGAAATACCGCAAGCTTTGTCGGCATCTCGAGGTCGATTATCCTGGCTGGTGGTATCATTGCCTGACGCATCTCATCGATTTCGATTTGGTGGGAATCGACGGCAAGCATTTCCCGCTGAGAATGGTCGTGTGGGATCCGTATTTATTTTCCTTTGAGCATGGCTGGTTTGCGGAGGTCAGAGATCGCGAGACGGGCGTCCTGATCGCCAAAGCAGACGGTGATAATCGTCGATACAATGGCGAGACACTACTCAAGGTCGTGCCGAAGACTGGCGTCGGAGAACGGTACAAGCCGCACGGCAACGTCCCTACTGCGCAGAAAACCTCTGGCATATTTATGCATGTTGTCGAAGATTTTCTCTTCTATAGCATTGACAACAACTGCAGCATGTTCAGCAGCAAGATGGACAGCCAGGAGGTGGCTTCCTTACACGATCTTCGCGAAGCTTCTTTTCGCAGATTTAGAGAGCCGTGCCAGCACATAACCTTCTCTGGCCGCTCGGAGTTTGAGCGTCTGATTCCCGTCGCGGCTTCTCTCTCTTATCTCCATTTCGATTATGGGTCTGCCGAGCGCGTTTACCGGGACTTTGACTCTGTTGTATGCCACTTTGGGCTTCGCAAATCGTTGCTTGAAGATGTATTGCGGGGAGATTTAGAGCAGTGCCAAGCAAATTGTAAACGCTTTCAAAGTATCTTCAAGGAAACTTGCTGGGAGCAATTGCCTGAGGATCTGGTGATGCGGATATTGGACCTTGTGGTGCATCCGCCTCGGCATATAGTATCCGAACCTTTTAAACCGCAGCCTGGCCGCACATTTGGACCAGATTCAGATGGAAACGGATGCAATTGAGAAGGTAACATCAGAATCTGGTGTAGTGTACAGATGGCTATTGCTGCGGTGCTTGACGTATATGCGTCTATACCCTGATCATTGTGACACCGAGCAGCAAGCGTATGGTTTATTCACAACGTCAAGTTTGAAGTCTAAGTCAAACAAGAGGTTACTATCAACAGGCCGGAGAGCGACAATCGCTTGTTTTTCTCACCGCATGACGTTTGCAAGTTTTAAGTCGAGAATCAAGAAGATGGTCTCGCCAACAGGCCTGCGACCGACGGAAATTCTGATGCTGTTAGTGAAGGAGGGATCCTCATGGTATATATATAGTGAAACTCCGACGAAACAGTTTGTCACAGCCCCTTGTTTGTTGTCCTCTTCTCCCTCTCTGCCTACGGTTTACCGGGCAGTTCTATTTGACGATATATATACTGCCTGCTTGGCTGGAGCTGAAGGTGATCCAAGTCTGCACGTTCGGCGGTGTCGGCAGTTCTCGGAAATTTTGTGACCTACTTTTGCTCTTTTACCGTCAGATTACCCGACATAGGGTGCCACTTCAGGAGCCCTGGAAAAGGGGTTGAGAGCATACTCGTAGCAGGACTTGCGCGTGGATGAATATGACCACGTTTACAGCCGGTCCTGGACGTATCTGACTGCAATTACGTCCAGAGATCATTAGAATAAGTCGTAGTATGAGTAAGCCCAGACTGGGTGTATGTATACAGTGGACACCAAACAGGTGCAAGAAGTCGGGGACAGGCGGACTGAGCTGTCTGCTTGGTCTCTGACGAAAGATTACGCAGATCAATGGAGGCCGAAATTAAAGAAGCCGGGTGCATTGAACTGTCTTCTTGGTCGCTGACGAAACATTACGCAGATCAACGGTAGTCAGAAATGAAAGAAGGTGGGTACATCAGGCTGTCTGCTTGGTCTCCGACGAAAGATTACACAGATCAGAAATGAAAAAAAAAAGGTGGGTGCACCTATAACTGTCTGCTTGCCAGTGCGTGGTCTCTGGCGAACGATTACGCAGATGAACAGAGGTCGAACGTGAAAGAAGGTGGGTGCACCTAACTGTCTTCGTGTTCTTTGGCGAAAGATTGAGCAGATGAATGGAGGTTGGAAATGAAAGAAAGATGGGTGCACGCCTAACTGTCTGCATGGTTTCTGGTGAAAGATTACGCAGACGAACGGAAGTTGGAAATGAAGAAGGCGGCCAGGTGCACCGAACTGACTGGGTGTCTCTATACAGTGGACATGAAACAGGCTCAAGAAGGCGGCCAGGTGTACCGAACTGTCTGCTGCGTGGTCTCTGGCGAAAGATTACGCAGACGAACAGAGGTCGGAAATGAAGAAGGCGCATGCATTGAACTGACTGGTGTGGACA